CTACTCACCTTTAAAGTTGATGAAATTTTTAAATTATAGGATTTTTAACTATACATCTGGAAATATGATACAAAATTTGGTCTATAAGACAGTCATATAGTCATACTAATAATGTCTATAGCAACTGTTTAAACTTGTTTTTGTCAAATAGGGATGTAGGTAATCAATTCATTTAACTCAGTTCAAATTTATCCCTGAATGGTTGCATACTTCTAAAGTATAAGTTTATATTTTAAGTACAAATGATCCTAAATTGCACTGTCTGTCAATTATATTGTGACAAATATCAGAAAACAAAGAATACTTGACACCACAGACCTATGTCTATTGAGTTCATTAAATTACTAGAATATTCCTGTTGTTTACACCCAAGATGATAGAGTCAGAAATCACATTTCCAAGTCATTCAGACTTCAGGCGTAACTATTACAAGTTGTTAGGTTATAGGCGTCTATGAAATGATTTCACAGCCCAGTGGTTTCCTATTTCCTATAGTCTGGATTGCATATTCTTTCACTTCAAAGGTCAACCTGCTTGGCAACTTTAACAGAAAGGCCACAAGTTGGAGCGTTTCAGGAACTTTCCTTTGATGTCACCAGAGTTGAATGACAAGATATGTTTGTGTCTTACAGGATTTCACCATTCATGATGTTTTCAGGACATACCACTTGAATTGATTTGTCAAAAATCTAGTTTTCATCACCTTAAATTCAAAACATCACAATCAAAATATGATTTGGAAGGAAATAATATTTGGTGAGAAAAGATTATTTTAAGTAAGATTCATCAAGCCAAAGAACCAGTAACGTGAGGTGATAATTTGAGAAAACTGTAAAAAGAATTTGTCCCTGTGATCCTGTACATTGGTGTGTGCCTCTGTGTATTGTATATGAACAGTTCTATATTCATTTTATCTGTAAGGGGCTTATTAGTGTAAGCTAAATCTCACATCATGCTACTATATACTTAAGAACTACTTGAAATGTTTTAATAGGATTTACAAGGTCAGATCTTACTCTAATATATACAAATACATATATAAAATACTCCAATGCAGTGGCTCTCTGCCTTTCTAATGTTGTGACCCTTTAATACAATTCCTCATGTAAGGGTGAACCCCAATCATACAATTATTTTGCTATTATTTCATATCTGTAATTTTGCTACCGTTGGGAGTCATATGATCATCTGATCTGCAGGATTCTGGTATGTGATGCTCAAAGCAGTCAAATCCCTAGGTTGAGAACTACTGCTCTAATATTTATATATTAGATATGTATTTTGCAATATGTCATTTAAAATAATTGTATCATTAAAATTTAAACTTTTCACACTTTTGATTCTTTATTCAACAGTAAGTGTCAATACCAGATATGAAGGCTTATTTCTAATAATGGCTTATTTATGGAAATAGCCACACACCTAGGTCATATATTACTATTTCTCTGGTAAATGTTCTTTCAACTGCATCACAGAAAAAAGTTAAGTTGGATAAGCCAGCAATCTTATTAATTTAATCATAACATATAGAGCAAAAGATACAGAAACTTTGGAAAATTTTGTTTAAATTTTTAATTAGTGGAAATTGACTTCTAATATCATAAAGATATATAAAAATTTTGATTTAACAGATAATCTCACTTTCCCAATAACTAACCACCTTGATTCTGAGAAGAGAAAAATGTGTGCAGATAAGGAAAAGGTCTTGGAAATTCCCATCCTTGTACTTAAGTGCTGTTTACTCAGCCCTCCCTCTGAAGAGAAGGTTAAAATCATTGATTTAACCTTTGGATTCACCGGACACTATCATACTGATACTTGCATGTGTCTTTGATTTCTTCCGAATCTCAGGCACATTGCATACTGGAAAAAAAAAAAAAAAACTTACGTTGAGGGATGGAACATTTGTTACTTGTTTAAAACTTCCAGTCCCCCCTCCACACTTCTTGGGATTCACCCAGTTTTTTTTTTTTTTCTGAAGATTCCACTGGACCACACATCCCAAATGAAAGATCGTACGGTTTCTTAGCATTTCATAAGAGGAGTAAAATGTGACTAATTTTGCAAAGGAAGTAGACAATCATGTACGGAATTAAAAATGGGGGGAGGGGTGGAACATTTAGTCAGTTACTGTTGGCGTACTCAAGGAAGGCAAAAGCATCTCTCGCATGGATGCTTCTTGAGGATAATTTCTACGTGACGCTGAGATTTACAGCCTTCTCACATTTTCTTCCCCCACAAGGATTCTAAATCAGGCTGGTTCAGAGGAGAAGCCAGAATACCCCCATTTTTCTAATATTATCACTTCTCCAGATGGTTCTGAGAACATCTAGTCAGTTCCTTTTCCTAGAAAGTAGAGGTGCCTTATTAGCTATGTAAGCACATCCATCCCAGAAGCAGCCTTGGTGCTCCCTTTGCTTTAACATATCAAATCTCTTTCATCTCCTACCACGCAGGATGACAAGGAGAAAGCAAGCTCACTGATTGCCTGAAAATTCATCTTGGCAACCTGAGCAAAGAGAGAGTTAATCGTGGATCTTTGAAGACAAGTGACCATGGGAAATTAAGGTTGGCAGGGATTTAACTCTTCATGGGTCTTGCTGCAATATTTTTAAGAGCAAGGCAGCAGATATTTTAACTGTGTTTGACATCTAATTAAGTCGGGAAGAAGAAGCAGATTTAAATAAGATCTCTCTTACAGTTAGAGGCAAGGTCATGACAATTGATTATCAGGCATGTGCTTTGGCAAAACAAGCCTGTGAGGACACACCAGTAAAACGACAGAAGAAAAGGTGCTGGAACCCTGCCTCCTCTTCCTTGCTGTTGTCCACTTCACAGTTTAGTAAAGCAAACTGCCAAGCTCTTGGTCTATGAATAGAATTGTTAGAGAGGTGTAGAGGAGTTTTGGATTTAAAGGAAAACACAAACATTATGATGGATACCATAGCTAACTTCTATAAGACTTGTAGAGACAGTAACACACACACACACACACACACACACACACACACACATATATATAAATATATAGTTAATGTATACAGCCCTCATCAGACAAGTTTAAACATATGTATATAACAAAGAACAGGTTTAATTCCACTATCTACATGATTTGAATGCTTAGGCATGACAGGTGCCTCTTCTCTGACTGAGAGTAATTAATGGTAAAAAATAAAATTCTCACTAAGTAAGGAAATAGAATACATTTTGTTTTTACTTAATAGCTATTTGGCAACTAGAAAATTGTTTTTAAGACTATTAGATTCTTAAAATACACTTCATTATTTCAAATTTGCTAATATCGAATTATAGTATGCAACCATTCAGCATCTTAGGAATCCAAACCTGAGAATTACATCTTTTAAAACTAAAGTTGAATATAAAACTTACGAGGAATATAAACTTGAATAAAATAAGCTATCAATCTAAAGAAAACTTGATGGTGTCTTCTCAATAATACAGATCAAAGAACAATAAAATCATAGATTATTTAACATACTATGCAAGCAATTTCACTATTTTTATTATACAGAAACAAAGTAAAGACTTGGTGAAATATTTAGTGGATGTTATATGATTTTTCAATACCGATGTACCAATGCAACTGTTTATCTTGCATTGAACCTATATGTATGTAATTAGGTGCTTAATGAAATACTATACTAAAAATAATTTTCTAAGTCAAAGTATTTTATCTTAAGTTGAATTCAAATACACACATTAATAGGTGTTTAATTTTCTCATGCATAGTGTGAAAATTATGCGTCTCTCCTAATTGGTCTCTCAATTCACGATAAAGCACTCAGAAAAGTTGTCCCCTATCATGTGAAAATTAGAAATACATTTTTCTCTATATCAGTCAGTCGTGTACAAAAAGGAAATGTCTCTAGAAATAGCCAATACTCATGTACCTTATAAGCTAAATACATAGCAGAGGTAGAAGCTACTCAGAGCCCCACCCCCAACCCAAGAAATCTGAGAATCATAGGAAATCAGCACCTTGGGGAGTTAAACTATACGAGTTAAAACGGTTTAATCTTAAACTCCATTTATTAACACCCGAGAAATGCCACTAAAAGTTTTGTACAGACACACACACACACAGACACTCACACACACTTTAAGAATTGCTTTACCACTACTCTACACAACAGTCTTTGAAATCTCTCCAAACAAATTCAGAGCAAATATTTTCTTTAAAATTGTCATCTGAAAACAAACACACACACGAATCTGTAACAGAAAAAAAATCATGTGACCTAGCAAGGTTTTCGTTTATGAATTTATACTTCTTAAAAAAGAAGTTCACATAACTAACTGAGTCACTAGAGAATTGAATCTCTATAATTCCCACTTAACTACATACGAAATTAAATATCATTATATTTCAAAGGCTAGTTTTACACCAATTAGGGAAATACAATCTTTTCACCATCATAACACAGTGTGGAAAAACTAGCCTGTTCCCTCCAGTTTATATTCTCTTGGCAAACCATGATCTACTGCTTATGGTGAGCATCTGAGTGTCAGATTTGAACAAACTGAATATTCATGATGGCGATTAACCATTTAGTGCCCGCAACTACGAAGATACTGTTCACTGTAATGGTTATTATAGGTGAGGCATGACTAGCTATATAAAAAAAGCATATTTTTTGCATTAACGGTTCTTTAAAAATATTTTAAATTGAAGTAAAGTAAGAAGAATGAAGGGCACATAGCATGATCAGAAGGTACTCAAATCAGCATGCACGGAGCAGGCACACAGCTCACCGTGATTAAATGTTCTTTGTTTGCTTTTAAGTTGTCACACATCAAACAGAAGGCATGCTTTTTTTGTTGTTTAAGAGAAAGTGTTTAAATTTTCACAGAAAATTTTGACCGAATGACACAGGTTCCCCAGGTTAACCTAAAGGTTTGATGTTTAGTGTTGGGAGTTCAAGGGAAGAAAGGAGGGGGCACTATAAATCTAGTCAAATAAAAGAAAAAGAAAGCTTTACCTTTGTACGATAATTTCAGTCTTGGCACATTGTTCTTCCCGTTTGCATAGTTTGCTCTTGCTGTAAGTAATACACCCCAGAAAAGACAGGCAATCCCAGCGAACCAGCCCATGCTGCAGACGCTGGAGGTCCCTGGGCTGCTGCAGCCTTCCTTCCTGTATTGTGCGGCCAGAGAAGTTCAAACAATCTGGAAACTGGAGGTAACAGGTGATTTAGGTCAGTTTCATTCATAAATGCAGACAATCAAGACCTCATGGCAACACTAACGTCTCTTCTTCTGTAACAGTCACGGAATCACAGAAACTTCAAACCCTCAAAAAAAAAAAAAAAATCGAGCCAGGCTCCGGATAATGAGGCACAACTGTTGTGTGGAAAGAAGAAAAAAAAAAAAAATTAACAAGGGCTGCGGCAGTGGCGCTTAAGAAGCCGTTCCTTTTATCTCAGCTCCGCTGATAGCCGGTGGCAGACTCTAATCCTGCTCCCTCTCTCTGCTTCATTCGGCTCCGAGGAAGCAGAATGAAAGGGAAACAGAGAAAGAGAGAGAGAGAGAGGAGAGAGAGAGCAGAGGGGGAGCGAGCAGGCTTGAGCAGCGCGGACGATCCCGCGGACAGGTTTTCCCAACACTCACTAGACGCGCTGACAATGGGAGAAGAGCGAGCTCAACCCACTCCCCTTCCCTCTTGTCACACAACACATGCAAAAAACATCTCGCAGAGATTAGAGCCGGGAGCAGAACCCTCCGGCGTGCCTGGGAGAGGCATGGGGCTATAAATTTACCTCCCGAGGCTAGCGTTGTTTTATAGCCATTTTGGGGGAGCAATTGTGATTTAAAAGAAAAAAATCGAATTTGGCTACCTACAGAATTTACAATCCATGCTCATTATTACCGTCTCGGCTGAACTTGTGCTGTGAGTGTGTGAGTGTGTGTGTGTGTGTGTGTGTGTGTGTGTGTGTGTGTGTGTGTGTCTCCCTTTCATCAGAGTAACTTTAAGCAGGGAAGGTTTTAAAGCCTCCTTAGAGATTATTCCCGCCTCCACACAGCCCCCCTTGGGTTCAGCCACCTCCTTCCCCTGCTCTACAAGTGTAGTGAAGAAATTCCTTGGAAAGCCTATATAAACGATCAGTTCAAGACAAATATAGGTCCACTGAGAATTATAAATTACAACAGGGGATTCGCGAAAGGATACTCCAAATCTAAAGTGCCGGTGGTTTTGAGGCTCCTGGAAGGCAGTGGCCGGGCTGACTCTTCCACCGCCCCGCCTCGCATTAATTAGATCCACTTCCCCGGTGCTGGCTGCAAGGGCAGAGGAAGATGACAAAGTTCACAAAAGTCCCTGCTGAGTGTCAAGGACCCAAATGAAAAGAGAAGCGTGTTCCTGTGTCCCCATGAGCTGGTGAGGGGGATAACTCTGTTGTCTGTGGGACACAAACACGTATTCAGAGTCCTGTTGAACCTCATTAATTCTCTGACAGAAAGGCGTGCTCTCTCTGGCGTCTAAATTGTCTTTTACTTTTCTTTCGAGAGTCCTGAAGTCCAATGGTATGATAGGATTTGGGTAAGACTTGTATAAAAGTTAGAAGAGAACACCCTCAACATTTCCCGTAGCCTTCTTTGCTCCCCCTTTTCCACCCCAGCATCTAAAGACTTGAAGCCCAGAAGAGAATTCCTATTCGATGATATGGATGTTCCTCAGCCGAAAAGGGAGGGCCAGTCTCCCAATCAAAAACACAAACACTGTTGCAAGTGCTCATAAAAGTTATCTAAGCATGGCCATGGTAGCTCTCATACTGTCTATAGACAACATTCTCCCCTGACCCCGTGAATGTAGACTCAGGAGGAGGATTTAAGGGGGGGGGGAGTTGGGGGGAGGGGAGAGGGGTCTACACTGCACTACATTGATTTGTCAAACGCATTTTATTGTATTTGTCAGTTCCTGAAAGCCTATCGATCAGTTAGCATTGTTAAGGATATAAACTCCAAAATCATGTTGATTTTAGTGATCCCATCCTTGTTATCCGGAGCACTTTTCAAGCTTTGGCAGGGGATTAAGGTTACAAATGACAAGAGGCTTTCTGTCTAACTCTATAGACATCCTGCAAAGGAATTCAGGCCACTTTGGGATTATCTAGAGGGTTCGAGTAGCGAATTGCCCCAGCCAAACACCACCGTTAGCACTTTTAAGCATTTCCCCTTTCTACTTAATGTGTTTTTCAATGCATTAATATATTTCTAACATGTTTCTTCTGCAGAGCAGGAAGGTAAGTTTGTCTTTGTCAGTGTCGAAAAGGATGAATTAAAGTGTATCCATTTTGCCTCTTAAAAAAGTCTAATCTTGGAAATGCTTGTGTGTTCCATGAAAAATAAAAGAATAGTAAGATTGAGTGAAAAAGAAGAACTCATATTGATTCTAAAGAAAGAACAGTTCTCTAGAACTTGAACACAATGGGGAAGCGTTGCAGAATTGTACAGAAGAAATAATTTATACCAAAGTTGATGTCTGAAATTTGATACACAAAGAAGTTCATTCTACAACAGCCCTAGTCTCAAAACGTTGATGCAATTAACTTTGGAAAACATCAAAACCTTTGGGTCTTAGATTTCTGCTCTGATCTCAGCAGACTTTGGCAAGATTGACTATGGTTGTTGTCTTCATTTGTTTTTATATACTTCCCTCCTCCTGAGAGATAATTACCTTTAAGCCCTCTTCTTAGCTAAAATAGAAGCAAGACTGGAGTGCACCTACCTAGGAGTTTGTCAGAGCCTTAAGGACGCAGCTGCAGGTGTGACAATGCGGATTCTGAGTCACTAGAACAGAACTTGTGGCCTAAGGCTTGGCTTGACCGAACCTGCCGCATGCACCAACAAAACCCTGCTATTTCCGCATTCATTCCTGCAGCTAAAAGTCAGGAGTACTGTATTGACCTTTCAATGCTGATTTTTACAGTATGGTGAAATATTCTGTATTTCCCACCCACTGCCCTATTTCCACTGCACTCAGCTATCCAGCCCTACATCTTGGGCTACAATGAATTCTATTTGCAACTGATTTCCCGAAACTTCTCCCAATTTCAGCTCTCAGCTGCAAGGGCTGCCACCTGTTCCTTTGCTAGCAGGCTTTCTATGGTGACGGTCCTGTGCTTATTTCAACAAACAACCCAATGGCTCCTCACCTCGCCCCATTGCAGATTGAGAAAGAGGAGGCGGGATGAAGCTTTTCTGGGTGTTGTACTTGATTTTCCAGAAAAACCCGTACTTTCAACTTTACAAGGAGTTAGGTAACTCTTATCTTTTCTTGAGAGACTCCAGAGGCAGCTACAGAGGGTCCTTGTTAAAATATCTTTTGTGGAGAGATGTTCTTCTTAGGTCACACCAATGTGTCTGTTTTGAAGGGGCCGTTCAGAATGGGTAAAATAGACTGGACGTTAGGACAGAGTTGATGGAACAAGGGGATGGTGAGTCTCACTGCATCGTAATCACTTCCCCCTCAAAATGGACTCGTGACCAGGTATTAGCTACTTCTTTAGGGGGAATTACTTAACTAGGGACTAAATAAAAACATCCAAACACACAAATTTTACTATTCTTCCCAGGGTGTTTTTGATTGAGTTCTATTTTTTAAAAATAATTAGCTAGCATTTCTTTTCTGTTTTTCTCTTCTTCAAGAGACTGCTTCATTACTCACTGAGAATCTCATGGTCATCAAAGTTGAAGGAAATGCCATAGAAAAACACTGCCCTCCTTGTTCCCGTGTTGAAATTCATTGTTAAAGAATACTTTTTTTCTAGAACTGGGAATTTGTACTTCCTTTTTTTCAGAGAAAATTGTGTTTGTGAAAAAGAATGCTTCAGAAGATTAGAAAACACCTATTAATTGGAATGTTTCCCAAACTAAATATTTGGTGTCTTATAAGTTCTGTTCAAAACTGCCCATTACTTAAGAATTACCAGTCGTGGATGGGAACCCAGAGTGGTGGGTTAAAAGCAATGCCTCAGAAATTAAGTTACACTTTGCATAATCTGGCCCTTATGAGTGCTTTTAGCATGAGCACCATGCGGGAGCATGAGCAGAAAGAAGGAATTGGTAAAGGCAAAGAGAATTCAGCTCTTACAGAGACATTAACTCCTCCCTCCCTGCCAATAATGCCCTGGGAATACAGATGCAGGAAAAGCAACTTCTCTTCACTCTGGGTTTAATTTGTGACCGTTTGAAAAAGCACCCATTTTGCAAACGGGCTAAAGTAATAAATATTAGATCAAATGCAGAAGGAGATGAGACACTGACCAAGGACTAGATTAACTGTGATTTGAGATTGTCAGAAAACACAGATAATTAGAGCGGTCAAAAGTCATAGGGAAAATGTGCACTGGGTGACCATCTCCCTCCTTGAGAGGTTGTTTAGTGGGAGTAGCAGGTGGGTTTTGTTAGTTTAGTCATTATGCGTGAGGAGGGAAGGAAGAGGTGGCTAGAAAAATAAGCTGAAGTTAGGGTTTGTGTCGAAATGGCCCAAAGTGTCTAAACCTAGTCTTAGAGAGAAATGTTTGCTTGCTTGTTCTGTTTTCAAAATTATTTTAGGATGTTTTCATTGCCGCAGTCTCTTTAATTTTATTATCTTAGCCCATCATATATTAGCTTTTCAAAATATTTAAAAATGGCATTTCTTTTAACCATTTTGTTTGCCATCCCTCTTGCCCCCTTGCTAGACCATCCGCTCCATGAATGAAGTGTTTCCTAATACGAGCATATTAAAAGCAAGCAGGCAGGACAAATACCTGCCACTGGTGGTTTTAGTGACTGTCTCCACCTCAACTGAAAGGGTACAAGAAAGCTTTCCAGTGAGACAGAAGTCCCATTGTTACCAGTGATTAGCAAAGGCTCCCCAGTGAGCTGAAAAACGGGTGCCATCTGCAGAACTCAAATGACAAGGGCAGGCTTGCTCCTGACAGTTTCAGGATATGAAGTTATGAGCTATTTGCTTCCAGTAGAGGCACTGAATCTCCTTAAACATTCAAAGTGGAGACGCTGGCAACCCTGATCCAGGCAAAGGAGATGCAGAGAGTTTCTCTGCTAGGCTCTGAGCAAAAAGATGCGCCTCAGAGGCGAGCCTGCTTCAATCTTTGTTTGGGGGGAGGGGGTGAATTGAAACTTTTTTCAGTAGTTTGAGATTGATAAGGACAGGGAACAGAAACTCCAAAACAGATCCAAGCCTTTGCAAAAGGGGGAGTTTGTTATAATGTTTCCCGGGAGTGGTAGCAAAATGGCCGTGCAGTTGTTTTTCCAGAGCCACAGAGTCCCCCAAACTGTAACAGGTAGAAAGGAAAAGGTTATACATGCCTGTCCTTTCCTATTGCATATCGTCGCCAACAAAAAAACACCATATGACCTGTCCCAGACCTTGCCACGGGTTGGGTGTTGTTTTTGTTTACTTTCTTTTGACCAATGGGGCCGAGTTATAACCCAGGGCTCTGTCACTGCCTCACCTACCAGGGCAGCTGCCAGTTTACCAGAGAGATTAAAAAAGACCTCGCTTATTAGTTAGCAGTGTTTTTGTTATTCACAAGGATTTGTGAAGAAAATTCAATTTCCCCTTTTTCTTTAGTGGGTTTCCATAAAATTAAGCCCTGAAAAGAATGTCAATTTACATGGCTTCATTCTCTTTCCCCAGCTGACTCAGGGGAAGAAACTTAATCCCTGTCTCTCGCTTTATATCTCTGCAAGGGACAGGTTCTGGAGGAAAAGGATTGTGTTGGGGGACTCGGGTGAAACCATGACTAGTCTCTGGATTGTTTCTCTTCAAATTTACAGGTGGCTTAAGAGACTTAGGGAGCTTAAAAAAAAAAAAAGAAAAAAACAATTTCTAACTGAATTTTATAATTCTTCTTTGTAACAAAAATGATGCCTGCAATGTACAATTGTTTACTAACATAGTTTTAATTGTATTATCTCTACTGAGCTTTGCTACTGAACTAATGTATCATGGCAATTGGCACGAACAGCACTAGTTTATTTACGTACTTACGATGTTAAATAATGTGCTTTTTTTTCTTTTATGGAAATATTTTGTTATATTCTGATCAAGTTTAGCCTTCCCCAGTTCCTCTTAGATCCTCCCCACCTGCCCACCTCCTCAACTCCTGGCCTCCTTTCTCTCTCTATGGCTTCAAAAACAAACAAATCAGGAAAAAAAAAATCAACAAAGTAAAAGCAAAAGAAACACACACAAACAAACAAATGATAATATACAAGCAAAGGCATAGTAAGAAAAACATGCCCAAACAAAGCAATGAGAGAAAGAAACAAAAATCTACACAACCACATTAAATTCATTTTGTTTTGAGTATCTATTTGCTGGACATGGGGCCTACCCGGAAGTGTGGT